AAAAAAGCATAAAAATTTACACAAAAATGTCTGATTTGGAGGCAATTGTCGGTAGAAAGTCGAGTGTGAAATACAACAACAAAAACACGGGTTATATATATAATACGAGAGACACAGAAAGAAAAAAGTTATCATTTCATTGAAAATTGAATCAAACACAACACAAAATTGGCAAAACTTTTCAAAAAAGCTCTCATCTTTTCATAAAAATAACACAGCATTTGGTTATGAAATATCATTGCATTCAAAAGATGGAGAGAATAGAGTAGCGAGTGATGAACGAAAGAGAGAGAGAGAGAGCCATAGGAATATCACAGGAAAATAAAATGCAATAAATTATATTCAAAATTCAATATAGCTTTGAACTACAGTACCAAAAAAAACTTTCACTACGAGAGAGAGACAGACATTTGAATGAAATATGGAAATACAGAAAATGATAGCAAAATGCGAGAGAGAGAGAGAGAGCGTAAAGTAAAAGTAAAACACTTTTTGATAACCAGAAGAGCCTTTCGTGACATTTCATAAACAAAACACAAAATGCATATAAAAAATATTTCAAAAACTATGCGAGAAAAAAATCAATAAAAATGTATGTAGGGGCAAAATTATTATTTATGATTACGACAATAATAATGTACACTACATATGAATATTTATATTCAAATATCATACACACAAAAGTGTATTTCACTCGCTATAACACTACCGTATATTTAAACTGCAAAACCCATACCGTAATAATTAGTGAAACAAAACATTAATTTATTAAAACTCATTACAAAATAAAATATAAATAAAATACAAGTCAAATGATCTCGTAGTTAAAACAAAACAAAAAATACAAAAACACATTAATTGTGCGAAAAACATATGACTTTTATTTGGGTCCCAGTATTCACTCACTCAATGTATTAATCACTTTCACAGAAACATTGAAAAATAAAATAAAAATCCAAATCTAAAGGACACAGAAATGTTCAGTCAATTACTTGCAAACTTTATTTAACTGAAAAGCCGTACAAAAACATTAAGCAAAAATCAAAA